GAGCGGCCTGCAGTGCAGTGTGGGATGGCTCAGACCGCGCCGCTGCGGAGGTATTCTTTCAGGCTCGTTCACAGAGGATAAAGGAAACCTTTTGTTGCTGTGAAGGGTTGTTCCCTAGCAATAGGGTTGCATTTGGAAGCCTAGGTAACGGTCAATAAATAACATCACTCTCAAGTTTCGGCTAGTTTGGAGATCTTGTCTTACTTTGTGTACTGCGCACTAGATTTGTAGGCCTTTCAGAACGTGCTTTAGGTGTAGTTTGCATGATAATGAAAGAAACGAACCATTGCTTTAATTTGCTAATTAACATATTTATATCAAGTTATTTCACTTTTGGTGGTGTTCTGCAAAGATGCATGACTTGAACACTCTTGGGACTTTGGGAGGAAACGATAAACCGCCTGAACAAGTTATTCATTGATCCATATAGTGACTACAAGACCGATACATTCAAAACTAGAGGGCTGTGAAGGGTTGTTCCCTAGCAATAGGGTTGCATTTGGAAGCCTAGGTAACGGTCAATAAATAACATCACTCTCAAGTTTCGGCTAGTTTGGAGATCTTGTCTTACTTTGTGTACTGCGCACTAGATTTGTAGGCCTTTCAGAACGTGCTTTAGGTGTAGTTTGCATGATAATGAAAGAAACGAACCATTGCTTTAATTTGCTAATTAACATATTTATATCAAGTTATTTCACTTTTGGTGGTGTTCTGCAAAGATGCATGACTTGAACACTCTTGGGACTTTGGGAGGAAATGATAAACCGCCTGAACAAGTTATTCATTGATCCATATAGTGACTACAAGACCGATACATTCAAAACTAGAGGGAAAAAAAGCCACTCTGGAAATGCCAAACAGTGTTTCTGTTTAATATGAGCAGTAAACACAGCTGGAGTTTTGTGTAGCAATTGATCAGAATTGAAGAATGATCAAGTTCTCGGTAGTGGATCAGTTATAATATCCAGTATCACAATGGAGAGATGCTCGCTGCGTGTCGGGGGGGCAGGTTTGGCTGGACAGGGAGGGTCTACTATCCTGCTATCAGCAACCCGAGGAATTCGCAGCTTTAACAGACACAACCTTACAGTTGATAAAAACCTGCAAAATCCAATCATCATGCACTATTTCTTTTGCCATCTGAAGTTAATTAACATTTAGTTCTCAGTACAGCCTGTGTTGCATGCCAGACCGAAAACTTTCTTTTATTAATGTAAAGTTCTTAAAAGTGTTATTTTCTTTGCACCTTTATCACTGACGTCAGTACTTTTACTTTCCCATTTTTCATTTACTGTGTATTTCGTGTCTTTTTTTGTTAAAGTACAAGTGTTTGTCATACCAATAAAACACTGAACTATAAAATATCAGTTTACACAAGTTATCTGTGTGTTATTTATAGTCTTTAATTAATGTTGTCATGTAATGAATTATTGTTCATTTTCATTTTATATCAATAACAACAAAAAAATAATCATTTGTATTGTTTACATTTTATTAATAATGTTAATACAGATAATTTGCCAAGATTAACTATTGTTTTTCATTTGATTTAATAATAATATTTTTATTGTTAATATTTTACTTACCATATTTTATTATTGACTATGACTATTGACTATTCATTTGATTTTTAATAATAATAATAGTAGTAGTCGTATTTTATTTATTTATCTTAATATTATTATATTTTAATTATTGATTAATAATTAATCAACCTTCCTAACCATACGGGATAATATTAATACAGGTAGTTTGCCTAGATTTACGTCTACAACTATTAATATTTACATTTCCTTTTTTTATCTGTCTAACATTATTTTACATCCCATTGTTCTTTCTTTGTATATTTTGTCTTCCTGTCCACGTGACATCATGTTAATACAGATAAGATGCACTTTTATGTGTTTTTAGTATTGCTTTCGAAGTATTTGTGTGCGGCTGCAGCTTCAGTAGCGCGCGCGCGCAAGAGAGAGAGAGAGAGAGTGTGTGTGTGTGTGTGTGAGAGAGAGAGAGAGAGAGAGAGAGAGAGAGAGAGAGAGAGAGAGAGAGAGAGAGAGAGAGAGAGAGAGAGAGAGAGAGAGAGAGAGAGAGAGAGAGAGAGAGAGAGAGAGAGAGAGAGAGAGAGAGAGAGAGAGAGAGAGAGAGAGAGAGAGAGAGAGAGAGAGAGAGAGAGAGAGAGAGAGAGAGAGAGAGAGAGAGAGAGAGAGAGAGAGAGAGAGAGAGAGAGAGAGAGAGAGAGAGAGAGAGAGAGAGAGAGAGAGAGAGAGAGAGAGAGAGAGAGAGAGAGAGAGAGAGAGAGAGAGAGAGAGAGAGAGAGAGAGAGAGAGAGAGAGAGAGAGAGAGAGAGAGAGAGAGAGAGAGAGAGAGAGAGAGAGAGAGAGAGAGAGAGAGAGAGAGAGAGAGAGAGAGAGAGAGAGAGAGAGAGAGAGAGAGAGAGAGAGAGAGAGAGAGAGAGAGAGAGAGAGAGAGAGAGAGAGAGAGAGAGAGAGAGAGAGAGAGAGAGAGAGAGAGAGAGAGAGAGAGAGAGAGAGAGAGAGAGAGAGAGAGAGAGAGAGAGAGAGAGAGAGAGAGAGAGAGAGAGAGAGAGAGAGAGAGAGAGAGAGAGAGAGAGAGAGAGAGAGAGAGAGAGAGAGAGAGAGAGAGAGAGAGAGAGAGAGAGAGAGAGAGAGAGAGAGAGAGAGAGAGAGAGAGAGAGAGAGAGAGAGAGAGAGAGAGAGAGAGAGAGAGAGAGAGAGAGAGAGAGAGAGAGAGAGAGAGAGAGAGAGAGAGAGAGAGAGAGAGAGAGAGAGAGAGAGAGAGAGAGAGAGAGAGAGAGAGAGAGAGAGAGAGAGAGAGAGAGAGAGAGAGAGAGAGAGAGAGAGAGAGAGAGAGAGAGAGAGAGAGAGAGAGAGAGAGAGAGAGAGAGAGAGAGAGAGAGAGAGAGAGAGAGAGAGAGAGAGAGAGAGAGAGAGAGAGAGAGAGAGAGAGAGAGAGAGAGAGAGAGAGAGAGAGAGAGAGAGAGAGAGAGAGAGAGAGAGAGAGAGAGAGAGAGAGAGAGAGAGAGAGAGAGAGAGAGAGAGAGAGAGAGAGAGAGAGAGAGAGAGAGAGAGAGAGAGAGAGAGAGAGAGAGAGAGAGAGAGAGAGAGAGAGAGAGAGAGAGAGAGAGAGAGAGAGAGAGAGAGAGAGAGAGAGAGAGAGAGAGAGAGAGAGAGAGAGAGAGAGAGAGAGAGAGAGAGAGAGAGAGAGAGAGAGAGAGAGAGAGAGAGAGAGAGAGAGAGAGAGAGAGAGAGAGAGAGAGAGAGAGAGAGAGAGAGAGAGAGAGAGAGAGAGAGAGAGAGAGAGAGAGAGAGAGAGAGAGAGAGAGAGAGAGAGAGAGAGAGAGAGAGAGAGAGAGAGAGAGAGAGAGAGAGAGAGAGAGAGAGAGAGAGAGAGAGAGAGAGAGAGAGAGAGAGAGAGAGAGAGAGAGAGAGAGAGAGAGAGAGAGAGAGAGAGAGAGAGAGAGAGAGAGAGAGAGAGAGAGAGAGAGAGAGAGAGAGAGAGAGAGAGAGAGAGAGAGAGAGAGAGAGAGAGAGAGAGAGAGAGAGAGAGAGAGAGAGAGAGAGAGAGAGAGAGAGAGAGAGAGAGAGAGAGAGAGAGAGAGAGAGAGAGAGAGAGAGAGAGAGAGAGAGAGAGAGAGAGAGAGAGAGAGAGAGAGAGAGAGAGAGAGAGAGAGAGAGAGAGAGAGAGAGAGAGAGAGAGAGAGAGAGAGAGAGAGAGAGAGAGAGAGAGAGAGAGAGAGAGAGAGAGAGAGAGAGAGAGAGAGAGAGAGAGAGAGAGAGAGAGAGAGAGAGAGAGAGAGAGAGAGAGAGAGAGAGAGAGAGAGAGAGAGAGAGAGAGAGAGAGAGAGAGAGAGAGAGAGAGAGAGAGAGAGAGAGAGAGAGAGAGAGAGAGAGAGAGAGAGAGAGAGAGAGAGAGAGAGAGAGAGAGAGAGAGAGAGAGAGAGAGAGAGAGAGAGAGAGAGAGAGAGAGAGAGAGAGAGAGAGAGAGAGAGAGAGAGAGAGAGAGAGAGAGAGAGAGAGAGAGAGAGAGAGAGAGAGAGAGAGAGAGAGAGAGAGAGAGAGAGAGAGAGAGAGAGAGAGAGAGAGAGAGAGAGAGAGAGAGAGAGAGAGAGAGAGAGAGAGAGAGAGAGAGAGAGAGAGAGAGAGAGAGAGAGAGAGAGAGAGAGAGAGAGAGAGAGAGAGAGAGAGAGAGAGAGAGAGAGAGAGAGAGAGAGAGAGAGAGAGAGAGAGAGAGAGAGAGAGAGAGAGAGAGAGAGAGAGAGAGAGAGAGAGAGAGAGAGAGAGAGAGAGAGAGAGAGAGAGAGAGAGAGAGAGAGAGAGAGAGAGAGAGAGAGAGAGAGAGAGAGAGAGAGAGAGAGAGAGAGAGAGAGAGAGAGAGAGAGAGAGAGAGAGAGAGAGAGAGAGAGAGAGAGAGAGAGAGAGAGAGAGAGAGAGAGAGAGAGAGAGAGAGAGAGAGAGAGAGAGAGAGAGAGAGAGAGAGAGAGAGAGAGAGAGAGAGAGAGAGAGAGAGAGAGAGAGAGAGAGAGAGAGAGAGAGAGAGAGAGAGAGAGAGAGAGAGAGAGAGAGAGAGAGAGAGAGAGAGAGAGAGAGAGAGAGAGAGAGAGAGAGAGAGAGAGAGAGAGAGAGAGAGAGAGAGAGAGAGAGAGAGAGAGAGAGAGAGAGAGAGAGAGAGAGAGAGAGAGAGAGAGAGAGAGAGAGAGAGAGAGAGAGAGAGAGAGAGAGAGAGAGAGAGAGAGAGAGAGAGAGAGAGAGAGAGAGAGAGAGAGAGAGAGAGAGAGAGAGAGAGAGAGAGAGAGAGAGAGAGAGAGAGAGAGAGAGAGAGAGAGAGAGAGAGAGAGAGAGAGAGAGAGAGAGAGAGAGAGAGAGAGAGAGAGAGAGAGAGAGAGAGAGAGAGAGAGAGAGAGAGAGAGAGAGAGAGAGAGAGAGAGAGAGAGAGAGAGAGAGAGAGAGAGAGAGAGAGAGAGAGAGAGAGCGTGTGTGTGAGAGAGAGAGAGAGAGAGAGAGAGAGCGAGAGAGAGATGAGCGTTTTCCTCTCTCCTCCCTAAAGCATCTCGGCGTGAGGGGAATTTGGGAGAGTGGGAACTCAACCGCAAAGTTGACGAACTTTTCACATCTTTTACAAACGCCATTTTGATTCGTCTCCGGAACAACTTTTGCAGCTTCTTTCTGTTTCTCTCTCTTTCTCTCTCTCCTCAGCTCACCATCATCATCACCATGTCTCGGCGAAAGCAACCCAACCCCAACAAAGTCAAGCGTAAGTGACTCGGCTCTCCTAAACTCTCTCTCGGGCCTGTTGTCTTGCTTCTGTGTGTTTATTTGAGGTTGTTTAGCGTAACTTCGCGGGAAAGTTAAGAGGACACTTTTCCTCGTTGCGCGAGGAGAGACCTGATGCCCAAACCTGCTCCAAACAACGCCGTTTCTTTAAGACATCGGCGTGTTTCTGCGCACACAACTTTGTGGTTATCTTTACTAACTTTTTAAAGCCGTATGGAAGTTGTTTCAAGCGGTGATGGGGTTGAGAGTCTGCTGCTGTTAGCTAGCGTTAAGCTAACGCGCCGCGGAGCATCACTTCCATCGCGGTCGAAACCGTCGTTTTTAATGCGTGTAGTTCTTTTGTTTGCTTTCTTGCTCGTTTGGTCTGGTTCGACAACAACCTGTTGCGGCACAAAGTTTGTTTATCTCTTTAAGGAGGCCTGTTTCTGATCGCGAAACCGTTCAGGTAGCTGCTGAGGTAATTCGAGGAAAGTAACGTCGGGTGGTTTTGTGATTCTGTCACAGGACTTGTTAAGATGTGCATCATCGAGGTAAAGACGATAGGTCTGTTGTTTCTGTAAGTTTGATGAAACCGTTGTCGTCGTGAACTGCAGGAATGGATGATGGATTAATGGTTGCTAGGCGCTTGTGTCTCTGCTCTTCTCGCCGAGGCAGAAACTCAGAGAGACGAAGGTAAACGTGGCGAGTTCACGGCGTCTGCATGCTTTTAAGATGCTATTCCTGGGGTTAAGTAGTCGAAAGTATCTTGCTTATTATTATTTAAGCAAGGGTAGGCACAAGGCCTCTGGGAATCATCGATAAAATACTGCATCAGCATTGTTTATGAATGATATTGCATGAGCCGTGCATTTCAGACAAATAGGCTAGTTTGTGGATATATTTGTTGTGTCGTTTATGTGTGGACATGATCATAATGACTGAAGACAAGTCGTATTTTCTAGTGGGAAACTCGGGTTGTGATGCTGGAAGCTGCGTGTTGATTGGACATTGCGGAAATGTATAGATAATATCATAATGTATCTATAATCTATAAATATTCAGATCAGTAAGCAAGGCTGAAGCCAATGGTGTTTATCACTCAGCTTTCACAGTCTCTTCACATTTAGTTGTGGTACCAATAAGCTGGTAGAAATGAATATTTTTCATCATTTTTTAATATAGTTGTTTAGGTTTATCGTTCACAATATAATTCTTTTTTTTTAGACTACTTCCAGGTTCTGTTACCTTCTTGGATTTGTGATATGTCGTAATAACAAACTCGATATTCAAAGGAACGAATTTCCCAAGGCAGCAATAGTGCCAGAATTAAGCCAGAGCATCTAGTTTTGAGTGTCACCAAGTAACACGCTAACAGAAAGACTCTTTAATCTCTCGTCTCCAGCTCCGCTCTCCTCCAGTAAAACATCTCTGACTTTCAGAAAACCCATTCCACTTCGCACCGCTTACGTCTAGTCTGGAGTGGACTGGTTCAAGTAATGAAAAGTCCCAGTACTGCTCAACCAACCACGTTAGATGACCAAAACTAGTTTTGGGGTCGTGGCAAATAAAGAAGTTTCCTCTTGCCTTTTTTTTTAAAGGCAGGGAGGAGAGGACGGATCCGGATGAGCAGTTCACATTCCATTACGAAATTCAACACGGGAGATGAGCAGAGTCACTACACGGACATCATGCCTCTCTCCATCTCTAAATATAAGATCTTATGCGATCCCTTAAAATAAAAGCCCCACCTGATGTTTTTAGCTGGACCACTATGCACATTTTCTGTGCTTTTCTCTCAAATCAGTGATGTCGAAGTTTGGCAGAGACCGGACGTGTTATGAGTAGGACCATACGGAGGCCTTGCAGCCAGTCTTAAAGGATCAGCTTGATGATGGTGTGGCTAAAGAAGGAGGCTGTTTCCATGTAGTTTTGTTTGTTTTCTCTTTGGCTAAGGCTAACAGGAAAGTTTGCTCTCATATTTGTGCTTTTTTTATTTTTAAAGGCACATTTTATAGAGATTCAAAAGCATGCAGTCGTACAAACACACAACCAACCACGTTAGATGACCAAAACTAGTTTTGGGGTCGTGGCAAATAAAGAAGTTTCCTCTTGCCTTTTTTTTTAAAGGCAGGGAGGAGAGGACGGATCCGGATGAGCAGTTCACATTCCATTACGAAATTCAACACGGGAGACGAGCAGAGTCACTACACGGACATCATGCCTCTCTCCATCTCTAAATATAAGATCTTATGCGATCCCTTAAAATAAAAGCCCCACCTGATGTTTTTAGCTGGACCACTATGCACATTTTCTGTGCTTTTCTCTCAAATCAGTGATGTCGAAGTTTGGCAGAGACCGGACGTGTTATGAGTAGGACCATACGGAGGCCTTGCAGCCAGTCTTAAAGGATCAGCTTGATGATGGTGTGGCTAAAGAAGGAGGCTGTTTCCATGTAGTTTTGTTTGTTTTCTCTTTGGCTAAGGCTAATAGGAAAGTTTGCTCTCATATTTGTGCTTTTTTTATTTTTAAAGGCACATTTTATAGAGATTCAAAAGCATGCAGTCGTACAAACACACTTTTTTTTTTGTCCTTTGAGCTGTGCTAATGGAGTTTATGAAGTGTCTAGTGTTTTTACATGCAGTATGTAGTGAGTTAAACCCCAAAGGAAACAGATATTGATGCTGAACTGTCAGGGAAGTTTCTACTTTCTACTTTAGCTACCAGTGAATAGAAACCAACGCATACTGCCCCAATGTGATTTTAATTTTTTTTAATGCATTTTAGATGTTTCATACCTAATGCATTCTCAAACACTTGGAAATCTGGTCTCCAGTCCGTCATGGGATTTTTTTCTAGTGCTAATTAAAAGTATATCACCCTCCCTCGGGTCTCAGTGAGAGTCCTGGGTATTGACATTATCTAAATTCATTATAGTAATTCCCAAGATACCTACACAGCAGACCTCGGTTGTGTCTGCCAAATGATAAACACTTTACAGCTCTGCTTTGCATCACTGACTTTCTCAGATTTACATTTAATTTCATTTGATTTTCTATCTTCGATTGACCATCCTACTTGAAATACCATGTAAATAATTGATCCCAGATTCAGTTGCACAAGGTGCATCTGAAATATCACATCTTGTTATACCTTTTTAGGTACTAATGTTAGGCATCTGTACCTGGTTTATGCATTCTTCATCCATTCATTCAAGGTGTGTTGCTGCACATTTTTGTGTTTTTATTGATTTACTAATGATATTGAAGTCTAAATGAGACCTTGAAATGTGCAACCTGATGGAGAGGGACCTGCTTTTGGCCCTAGGGCATGATGGGTTGCCCCTTTGGCTCCCAAGCTATATTTAGCCTGCCTTTTTTAGATAATATTATATTCCATCCCTCCGTAAGGCGTATAGCGGAGACAGGAACACAGCAGGGGAACAGCTTGGATGGAGTGAGAGATGGAGAAAAAAGAGCCCTAAAGTGTATTTGTAGTTGTTTCCACAAATTGGGCGTTTATCCATAAATATTAGGACTCTGTTGTAATTAATATCACACAAAAGAACTGGATATTCAAATAGACCATCTCATTCAAGAATGGCAGCAATTAGTTAGAGATGCAGAGAGTTGTGGGTTTAATTGTTGTAAGGGTTGATTTTATTAGCACTCACATTAACTGGTGTTTTATTAAAACGAGTGGTTTATTTCAGAATGACACAGGTGTGCTTCGGTCTGGAGGTCTGTACTAGAATAGTGTTGGGTGCTGACACTTTAGCCTCAGCTATATTTGTGGTTGTCCTGCTTGAAGTCCCTCATTGCCTACTGTTTGTTAATGCAGTAAGAAGAATGCAGACATTTCATGAATGCTGCTCTGCCGCCTCCTCACCGTGGCTCATTATTGTTAACAACCTAGATGTGTCATATATGGGATTGAAGGCTTAACCTCAAAAATTCAACCAATCCTCTCTGGGATTGCAGGAGTTGTCATGGCCCGCACAGGCAGCATTTATCTTTGGCTGTGAAAACATGAAAAACATGTTTGGTTCAGAAACAGTGAAGCTGCTGAAGAACTAGCAGTTGCAATAGATTTACTTTAGAACAACTGAGATGCTTTTCTAAACTAATAAATGACTTGATCTATTTGCTATGGCAAGTATATGAATCATTTGTAGGTTGCTTTGGATAAAAGTGTCTCATAAATGTAAATGTAAACATCACTATTTTGGTTTTTCAAAACCATAATTATTGATCTTGTGTACTTCGTGTGAGGCATCAACTCATGTGGCCTGGTGAGGCGAGATGTTACCTTTTTAAATGGTTTATCTAACTGACAAAAAAAAGGTCCCATAGACTTACATTAAAGGATGGACCCGTTGAGTTTTGCAAAGACGGAACACTCTGGCAAACGCATAATAGCCTCGTTCAGATTGTCAGCGCAAATCCAATTGACATCCGATCATATTTAGATAAGTTTGAACGACAATGAATTACGTGAAATCCAATTTTTGCAAATCCGTTTCGAGCTACATTCATATATGGTTTTGAATCCTATTCAAATTGCATTCCTGGAATTGGTCCTTTTGTAGAAAACATGCTGAATGTCTTCACAGAAACAGGCTTGTGTTCTTGCGAAGTGCAAGTCAAGCAGAAAAAGACTACAAGTACTGCTAGTGTATACCGCTGCCGATGCCTCATAAGACGAAATATAATACAGTGCGACAGCATCATGTTGTCATGTCGTAAGACAATAGGTGCGTCCCAAATTGCGTACTTGTGCACTATTCCATGATATTTTGTAGTATGAATAGTGCGAGTAGTGTTCACATTTAAAATTCCAAAAAGAAAAATTGCACTTTAAATACCCAGATGATGCACTAAAGCAGGGGTGCCCAAACTCAGTCCTGGAGGGCCGGTGTCCTGCAGAGTTCAGCTCCGACCCCAATTAAACACACCTGAACCAGCTAATCAAGCTCTTTCTAGGCATACTAGAAACTTCCCAGCA